TAATTCTCAATTTGTTCCAACACTATTACTCTCGAATACAATGTCACTGGCCCCAAAAATTGATGAAATAGCGTTTACTATACAACAGAAAGATATTCTAGTAGGCTTCTTTACTGAAACATGGTTGAAAGATTTAATCGCAGATGACCCAATTGCTATTTCTGGTTATCAACTATTTAGATTAGATCGCAAAAATAAGCAGCATGGCGGTGTGTGCTTATATGTGAAGAACACTATTGAGAGTAAAACTTTTCCCGTACTACATAAGGAGGATTATGAAGTTCTGTGGTGTATACTACGACCTAAACGTTTACCTAGAGGTTTTTCAAATATTATTGCAGGTGTGCTTTATCACCCTCCAGGGGCGAATACCACAGCAATGAAGGAACACCTTAAATCATCACTGGAAATAATTGAAACACATTATCCAAATAGTGGCATAGTTCTGGCTGGTGATTTTAACCAACTCGATTTTAAATCAACTGCGAAACTTTTTAACTTAAAACCTGCCATAAATATCCCTACTCGAGGAATTAATACTCTTGATCGGATTTTTACCAATCTTAAAAACTTTTATAATCCAGCATAAAGTGAGCCACCGTTTGGCTTATCTGACCATGTCACGATCACTATGATTCCAGCTAAACGTGTCAATTTACGACCCCTGTAAACGACTATAAAAGTACGGGATAAAAGACCAAGCAATGTTGCAAGCCTTGGCCGTTTCCTTTTAAATATCCCGTGGGAAAATATATTGTCATCTTTGCGATCTTCTGATGACAAACTAACAACATTTACAGAAATAATAAATTATGGTTTAAATACCATAATGCCAGAAAGATCAATTAAAGTAAAGTCCAAATGATCGTCCGTGGATGACTAGCCATTTGAAACGCCTTATTTTACAAAGACAAAAAGCATTTGCCTTAGGTAACAATTTCATGTTTAAATTGCTGCGAAACAAAGTAAATCGGGAAAGAAAACGTTGTCGTAAAGTATACTATAAGAAAAAAGTTGGCAACCTTCTGGATTCGAAACCTAAAGACTGGTGGCGAGAGGTAAAACAGCTCAGTGGTCAGCAATCAACACGGCCAGACCTCAGATCCATGATTAGATTTGACGTTGAGGACAGTGATGAAGGTTTAGGAAATAGGATTAACGAGGCCTTTATCAGTGTCATGAAAGATTTCCCCCCGCTGCCTGAAGATTTTAACCTATCGACTGACAATGATGAACCAATTAGCGTCTCAGAAACAACAGTGGAGCGGCTACTACGCGCAATCAGTGTTTCCAAAGCTAGCGGTCCTGATGAACTCCCCAATTGGGTTCTAAAGAGCTTTTCTGACATTCTGGCGCCTGCAATTACTGATATATTTAACGCATCCTTCTGTGAATGCAAGGTGCCGAGGGTATGGAAAATAGCAGATGTGCCACCTGTTCCTAAAGCCAAAAACATTACCGATTTTAACAAGGACTTGAGGCCAATATCCTAACTTCAACATTGTCAAAAATTGCAGAAAACCTCATAATTGAGTATGAATTATAATCTAAACTACTAAGAAAGATGGACCCAATGCAATTTGGCTTTATCCCAGGATCAAACACGACTCTTGCGCTTATTTCAATGTTGCATACCTGGCTAGATGCACTTGATGGGACGGGTTCTACAGTAAGAGTCGCTCTACTTGATTATCGCAAAGCCTTCGACCTAGTCGACCACAATCTACTTGTTGCAAAACTATCCGATTATGAAATAAAGCCAACGGTTGTAAATTGGATAGCTGACTTTCTTCGTGGTCGAACTCAGAGAGTTAAAATAAACTCTGTGTACTCAAATTTTTTACAAGTTCCTGCCGGTATTCCACAGGGAACGAAAATCGGTCCCTGGCTATTCCTAGCAACAATAAATTATCTATGTATTACAAAATCTCCGACTAGCAACCTGTGGAAATTTGCAGACGATACTTCGGTTTCTGAAGTTATTCCAAAAGATGGTGTTAGTTCCCTGCCAGATAAAGTAGACGAAGTAAATAAATTTCAACTGAACCCTGGCAAATGTAAAGAGCTGAGGATAAACTTTACCACGCAACCATTTACTGAGGAACCCCTAAATATAAACGGGAAGCCATTTGAAATTGTAAAATCTGCAAAAGTTCTGGGCATGATAGTTACCAATGATTTGAAATGGAACAAACATGTAAGCAATACCGTGGAAAAGGCTTCTAAGAGACTTTATTTATTAAGGCAATTAAAACGTGCTGAAGTGGAAACTAGATCCTCATACAAGTTTTATACCGTGTGTATAAGATCTGTCGTTGAGTATGCTTGCCAAGTCTTCCACTCGAGTCTCCCTAACTACCTATCAATGGAAATTGAAAATGATGATCATAAGAACTATTGCCACCGAAAAATTTACAACCAAACAATCTCAGAACAAACAGAAAATATAATCTTCCCAAGATGCACACGAACAGATTTAGTAATTCCTTTATTCCATATTGCGCACGTAATGCAACCTTGTAGGTAATTTCAGATCGTTAATATTTTAAATAGTTATGAACATACATTTACATTTAGATTTTAGACTTTTTACTAGAGACAACACAATATGTACAGTAATAAACAGGATATGTAAACATATATAGGTACATACATATATTTATAAATATATATATTCGTATATTTTCACTTTGTAAATTCAATAGTAATTCAGCCGCAAGACTGTAAATATTGATACAATTAAACGTTCTATCTCTTCTATCATGATCACCTACATTTGCAAGGCGTTTTTTACAAAACCCAGTACATAGTAGGTACTTATCTAGCCTACCAGATCAAGACAATCCCTAGTACTATACACTGTTATTTCCGAGGTTATTTCCTACTATATGCCATCGCATATACACCCCACACGCAATTCGAACTAAACATACTTCACAGTTCACTATATAGTGTATCACATGCCGAGACAAAGCCAAATTATTAAGGGGTAGTAGAGCACTCGCATCCCACTACATATTTATTCATCGCGCATTGAGACAACCTATATTATCGGCCAGCTCATGATTACACAGAGCAATTTTTGCTTTTCTCCGTCTCTCTTTTAGTCTTTCTGCTACAAACGAAGGAAGGACATGAAGAAGATCTCAGGACTTGCGCCATCTTGGTTTCCGCCTTCCATCATCTATCTGGATCATGCCTACGTCCTAATGGCTATAAACTCTCTACATAAATATGAACTTTTTATGACATAATCTACATTTTATTGCCTGACTAGATATGTATTGTCTACTGTGCGGTGGCATTCTGCTTGGATTGCACAAATTAATTCTGATCATTTCATTCCCTTATTTCTGCTCAAAAGCGTAGTTTCAAAAAAAAGAAAAAGAAACCAAACCAAAAACAATAAAACAAATAATGCATACGTTAACAGAATAGCTTAGTGGTGTCTAGCGCGATACTGACAGTTCTTAATTTTGTAAAGATAAAGCTATGTGGGGAGCTGCTGGTGGTCTTGGCCCTACCCAGGTTTTCCTGTAATGCAGGTTTTTTCCTGGCCTCCCTGATTATCCAGCCGTAGCATAAGTGTTTGCATCTCGTGGACACCATATACCTTTTTTGCGCAGCACGCCATCATTACATACTGTAAACCACACATCTGTACCATACTATAAATACTCATATTAATTATTTATATATTTTTCCCCCGACCACCATGCTCCATGTGGGGGATCTACACTTTGTTTCCATCAATGGCGGAAAGTGGTGTCCACACGGCCACACTTCGCCCATGGTGAAGCACACACCGGCAAAAGAGAGCAAGGTCCATAACGGCGGGGGCCCCTTACCCTTGTCCTGATCTTCGCATCTCTCAATCACTTCACCACGTGGAAGCCCGGCCCGGACATGAGATTCAATGTCCATAACGGTGAGGGCCCTTACTGTCACCCTGATGTTGTTTCTCCAGCTTTTCTGGGGGCCCCTTACCCCCAAGAAACCGCACTTCCCGTCACCTAATTTGGCCACAAAGGATTTGCGTGATTTATTAATGTATCTTTTCTATTGTTTTTAAAAGGCTATTTAATAAAGGAAATAGAAAACATTTTTTCTTTGTTCCTATAAAGTTTATAGAAACACTTGTGAAAGTTTGGGAGAAACTCGAAATTGCGTGGAAACACTCGCACTTTGTACTCGTGTTCCCACACAATTTCTTGTTTCTCCAAAACTTTCACACATGTTTCTATAATTCTATAGAAACACGGAAAATGTTTTCTATTTCTTAAATATATATATATTGTTCAAAATGAAAAAATTTAAAATTTAATGTGCTGCTACTTAAGTTTCACGTATTACTGATCGTCAGACAGCAATGGTGCACACGCACTGTAAATTTCAGGGAGTAAAAATTGCCCCAAAATATGGGGTAACATGTTTGTCCAATGAACGCCCCGATTTTTTCGGGCGATTTTTACCCCTCTGAAATGGGGTAATTTTTACACCACTCTTAAGGAGTAATTTTTACCCCATATAAAAATAGGTGTAATTTTTACACCACTCTTACAGGAGTAATTTTTACCCCATAGCTTTCTATGGGGTAAAAACTACTCCCGTCAGAGAGGTGTAAAAATTACCCCAATTTTTATAGGGGTAATTTTTGCACCACTGTTACGGGAGTAATTTTTACCCCATAGAAAGTAGGGGTAATTTTTTCTCCCCAAAACAACACTGCAAGCTAGGGAAGCAAATTAGCATGTGCAAATGATGCACATGCATTACTTACACGAATCGCCTTAATACAACATAATAAACATATCACTCAAATAACAATCAATAAATGCTATATTTGAGAAATTCATAAGTGAATTGATTATTACTTAATTAAACTACATCTAATACAATATAATCATGCAGTCAAATACATGCAGTGCAATTAATAAACCATGCATACATGCAGTATAAAAGATTTAACAATACCGGTTGCAACAATTTAAAAAGGAACCAAGATACAAATATTGAAAATTTCAAGATGTGGATTAAAACAAGGCTTTATTTCAGGTATTCATGCATAAATAAAAAAATTAAAACATTAATACCAGCTTATGTCATGTCGTGAATGGTCACCATGCACGCTTGCCTTTCAAGCTAGAACCCGGATTCAATCCTTGGTTGTACCACTATACTTAAGGGCTTGCAATAATTGGGGAGAAAGGTCTACCTTTACATTGATATCAGTAGGTACCTCGGATTCCCTATCAATGGGGCAGAAATTTATTATATAGCCTATACAGCTATACTCAATGAATATATCTTGGTTTTCACAATATGTTTATCTTCTGTTAGCTTATCAAAGCTATATAGCAACATGCATGCATAAAACAACCTCACAACTATATATCACTGAAACATCTTGAATATAGAGAATCACGCATGAAGCTGTGACATGAAATTTTGCATGCAGTGAAATTCTTTTCGCCACAGCATCTTTAATGCCACACAAAATGATATCAATGGACAAGAAAACGTCTTTCCATTATGGAGAGTAAGAGTCTAAGAGATGTTAAAAACATAGTAGGCAGTGTGGAGTGTGAGGAGGGCGCTGCAAGGGTGCTGCATGTCAATTGTGATGGCATCTCCAAACTTAACAATATTTTCTCCTTCAGTGCAGATGAATGCAAAGTTCAGGTTATATTTCGTCCCCTGCTCCAAGGACCATTTTAAGGGAACTTGGATGATCTGTGCAGGTCAATTTCTGAGTCTGGATCATCCTAAAATGTTAAATGGATTATAAAATTTTTTAAGTTGAACAGCGAAATGGAATAAATGGCTATAAGCAATTTTTAAACTGTGGGACCAGTTAGTCGTAAGTGATGACAGCATCCCAATTAAGTCAAGGCTTGGAACAGGAGTAACAATTTTAATGTAGGTCAAATATAGACGGTTATTCACATTCCGGGTATATTTAGATGCTGTAAAGCCACAACCCGCTTGGTTAACATAATACAGAGGTAAAGATACCCGGTTCCCATTCACAGGTAGTAAAATAGGATTATCATGCGAGCTCCATTAGGGTACCCGTAAACGGGGGTCGGGTATCTTAACCTTTAATATATAGTTACACTCGCAAAATCAATTACGGAATCGTCATAATTCGCAAATCCCCTACACTTGAGAAAAAAAGGTAGTATTACTGCTGAACAAGCTGCTTGGAATGCTGTATATCAACGGAAGAGAATAATATATAATTCAGTTAATAAATGACGTCAGCATTGTTGCTATGACAATACCGATTTATTGCATTGCACTCTACTTGAAAAAACGCCTGGTTACTCCCATTTCTTATTTCATAAAACATTTTCCTATAGCCTGAATAGATGATCTGCATGAACAAGCCGAATTTTAAAAAATTAACAAAATCATGTTTATTTATAATATTTTGTTTGTGGAATAAAAAATAAAAATATAACCATCACCATCAAGATAATTATACAATCATGAATTTTACACATTTTCAAAAATTAAAGGGACCATCTTAATTAAGAAACTTTAGTAATAAGATAATAAACAATATATAATTTTAGGTTTATGGAAACACCACGTAAACGGTGTGTGGGAATTCCGGTACATTTGGTTTTTTTTGACAGCTTAAAGCCTTTAATTGACTTTACATGTGTTTGCTAATACAACTTGTTGTAAACTTGCCTAAATTATTTTTGTTTATTTCCTTCCCATTAGGTGTAGAATACTTCACCTATTTTATACTTTTGAGCATAATTTTATTCCTGCGAGGATTTTCCACATGCATCATGTTGCCTGTTTGGCATGCATTGCAACAGAACCTACGAGGAACTAAAATTGTAGCCTTCGCAAGGCATGCCGCCTCACGTTCTGTTTCAGGTCGAGACAACCCAAAACTTCAGCACGGCACAAAACTTATTCCAAGGTGGATTCTAGTTGCTCTTAATTAAATTGAAATTGTTCTAATTAAATTGAAATTTCTCCACTCGCAAGGCGGGTCACCTCAACGTTCTGTTTCAAGTTGTGTCAACTCGAAGCTTCAGCACGTGAAGAAATATTTCAACTCAAATTTAAACAATTACATGCGAAAAAAAGTAATTTGATTTTTGATGAGATACACTACACAAAATGGTCAGGAAGACGGAGGAGATTGACTTGTGACTTCAATATATCCGCTGTCAGTGTACAAAGTCTATACATAAGTGTACAAAACCGTCTATTCCCTTGCTAGGGAAGGTAATATTATTTATTATTATTATCTTGAATTCAGGCATATGTAATTTGAAATGTTTGATAATTTTGCACTGAAAAGATGCCCAACTATAAAACCGAAAAATTATTTGTCATACACTGTAGTTCACCTTAAGATGTTTTCTGATATAAAGGTCTAGGGTGGAATTCTTGAATTCTATAAATATTAATATGAATTTTTACCATAAATAACAGCTGCACTTAAATTGCATTAATCTATTCAAACACTGATCATGCACGATTAAATTACATTTCTGTATATTTTGTAAAAAATAGGTATTCTAATATTATTAACAAATTTCACATGGTGTTTTACAGAAAGGTGAATTAGGAGAACTGTTAAGACTAAGAATTTCAACATATCAAGAATGCATTACATGCAAAATAGCACCGAACGTAGCGCTGTTGTTGATCAAAGCCACATTTTTCACATTCCAACCACGCAATGAAACATGCTTCAGCTTGCTCTAGTCTCGATTTGTGCAAAGAAACTAACACGCAATATAGTTTAACGTGGAAAATTCGATGGTAGTGATTTAGTCTTAAATCCTTTATAATCTCAAAGTAACTATATGGCAATTTAAGAGTCAGAAATGTGATAAATGTAGAAATGGGGACATAGGATTATTGATAAATATAGGCCATGAGATTATTTAAGTGTTGGCTCATGAAATTTGAAATCACTCTGTTCATGTCAGCACGATGGCATACATAATCAATGCGCTTTGCCGGCAACATGATGTTCGTTTATACGTGTACAATTTACTAACCATGCAGAGGAACTCGAAGTCACGCAAGAATTATACGACCTTGTAATGCACATATACTGTATATATTGTACATATATTAATGTACATCTAGATTCAGATTCCGTGACAACGAAACCTTGTGTAAATATTAGTATATATCAAACAAAATAAGTAGCGCTTACCTGTGAAATAGGTTAATAATGATACAAATTCAACACTGCTTTTCAGACCCAAACGGA